GTTCACACCCCTGCTGCCCTCCTCTGGGTCTCTGTTCTCTGGGGTCTTTCTGTCCTCAGGATCCACTTTCTCAGAGCGTTCTCAAATAGAGTAATTGGGACCCTAGGAGCCCCCAGGTCAAGGAAGTCCTGGAGATACTATAAATTTGCATTCCAGGGGCTGTCAGCAATCTCTTACATAGTATGGCTGGAATTGTCTCCAGACGCGGCAGAGCAGTGCCAGCCCCTCTAGGTAGTCAGTCCACGAGTCTCCCACGCAGACATCTCCAACTCTGCCAAACACACTATACCCCCAAATGAATTCATCTTCTCCCCGAAAACCAGCAACTTGGTCAGTACACCTCAGCAGTGCCGCCCTCATCCACCCATTATCTGAGCTACAGATATTGACTCTGCCCTCTTTCCTGCCTGCTCTATGCAACCAAACTCTAGTATTGTATTTTGTATCTACCCACCATTTCTTAAATCTCTGTCTTCACCACCCCTCAGTCCCTTCCCCAGTTAATGTCCTTATCTCCACTTGCCTTCAGTGTTTCCCTCTCTCTTTCATTCTGTCCTTCTGCGCCTATATTCCCCTGCAATGTGTTCAGAAGAATCAACCTCAGATGGAAATTTGACCACATCAGAGCTTTACTTAAAATCCCTAAGTGCCTCGGGATGCCTGGGTGGCTTGGTTAAGTGTCTGACTTAGGCTCAGGTCATGATCTCTCAGTTCCTGAGTTCAAGCCCCACTCTTGATCTCTGCTCAGATCTTGATCTCAGGGTTGTGATTTCAAGCCCCATGTTGGGCTCCACGCTGGGCATGAAGTCTACTTAAAAAAAAAAAAGAAAGAAAGAAAAAAGATTCCCCAAGTGCCTCTGTAGCCCCTACGGGAGGAAGTTAGGACTTTTCTCAGCATGCCCCAAAAGATGAACCAGAGTCCACTCAGCAGTACCTGCCTCATATGCTCCTACGATACTGTGTGGCTGGTCGCTCCTCACTCCAGGGGGCTCTTTCTCATTTCTGTGTCTTTGTTTACGTAGCTTCTTCTGCCTGGGATGATTCCCACTCCCCTTTGTCAGGTAAACTGTCACTCACTCATTCCAGTGGTATGCTGGTAAATGTTTAACAACCAGATCTCCAGGTCAAAAAACCCTGGCCTGAAGCATTTGCCGATTTCTGTGGTGTAAATGCCCCCACCATGGCCAATGTCAAGCAACCAACAAAATCACTGAATGGGAGTTGGGAAGAAATGTACATATTTGGTGCATCAGTTTCAGCACATGATGGGCTTGGGATCACCTGCTCCAGGAAGTCTGGCCCCTGCCTCCCTCTGGGTTCTCAGGACAGCTGGGCATTCTCCCTCTCCTGCCCATCCTACCTCGTTTGGTCATTTTCTTTTCATGGTCCTCTCCTGCCACTAGAGGGAACAATCCAGAAGGCAGAGACCACGGTTACTCTGCACATTTCTGCGTCCAGGCAGCGTGCACTCAAACATTGTTGGCTGAATAAAGGAATATGCCCACTATCTGGGCCCATCCCTGTTCTTGGCCACATTCTGTCAGCGACTTCCAAGAGGTTTTAGAGCTCATGCACAAATGAAAGGAGCTGAAAGGACAGTGATTTAAATGGATGCGGGGTGAGGACTGAGGAAGAACACAGCAAGTTGTTTCAAGGGGCCTAATCCTATGAGCTGAAAATTTAGAGGGAAAGTATAAATCTTCCAGGCAGACTCCTAAACACCACTGCATAATTGCAGACTTGGGGTGGTGGTGCTTGGCCACCACACAGAAGAGACTTGGGGATCTGAACGAGTCTTGGAATCACTAGCCAGCAGGCTGCCTGACTCTTATTAATGGAGTTACGGGAGATGTTCAGGGGGAAAGACAGGAGACAGGGAAGAAGGGAGGAGTGGTGCGAGGAAAAAAGGAAGCAGGCAGCAAACTTCCTTCTGTGCCTTCAGCATAATTGGATCTTGGGGATGTTATCCCAGAAGAATACAAAGTTTCTAAACTGAGTATAAGTCACTTTCCAAACTTTAAATGACTTTAGGGACTAAAATGGTCCCAAAGAGCAGACTGGAATTTAAATAATCTTCTTAAGGCCATGGCCAGTCCTTTGGAAATTGTGCCCTGAGCGCATGAGGTAGGTGGAGGGGAGAGGACTGGCTGGACCCTTCACCTTCCTTGTCACACGTTCTGAACCCTCACCTGGCACTTAAGGCCCGGCGTTGCTAATTCTGACGTGTGGCCTCTTCCTAACCTTTAGGAAACAAATGGATTATTTGTGTTCACCATGTTTCTGATCCAGGTAAGTGCAGGTTTTGATCATACCAAAATTTTCATTAGCAATCTTCATTTCTGCCATCAGACTTGATTGTAATGGAATAGAGGCTCGAGAAGGAGAAAAGCCTCTTTGTTGGTATGGTATGGAGTCAAATAGACCCAGCAGCCTGCAAAAGTCTGTAAGAGAGATCATCTGGCCTCACCCCGCTTTGTGCAGAGGGAGGAGGGCTTGCTCTGGACCTCCCAGCTCACAGTCTCTTGTACACATGCAGGTGTCCCTTATTGATTAAAACCAGGATATGTGGGGGGGGGGGGGGGGCGGGGAATCTTTCTTCTTTTGTAGTTAATGATTCAAACTACAGTATTAATAACAAGCTGTGTTTCTGGATCTGGTGATGCTGGCATGAAGGGAACATTTTCTTCACATGATCCAGGTTCTTGGGAGAGGGCGGGCCTACTCAGGCTGGGACCAATTTACTGCCCCAGCACATATGTCACAAGTAGTAGTGTGTCCTGGGCATCTGGGCCATCCCCAAGCTGGGGCCATTCTCAGTACTGAGCAGCCTCATTTCCTGGATGTAGTCCAGTAGTCATTTCCTGGATGGTACACTGGCCTCAGAGAGATATAGCAGTGTTTTTAAGACGCTGGGAGAAAAAGGGAGATTGACTCTTGTTTATCTTCATGCTAAAGCCAAGGGGTTTGTAGATATTTGGAGGGCTGGCACATGGAAGAGGGATTAAAGTTGCAAAGGAGCAGATTTTGCTCAGTGTCCAAGGAGAAGCTACTTCAAAGTGAACGAACCTCATCAGGAAGCGCAGAGTCCCACATCATTCAAGGCATCAAGCACAGGCTGGAGGACTAGAGGAAGTTGGTAGTGCTGTCTGCACTGGAAAGGGAGCACATTGCTAAATAGATCCTAAGGCCCATTGTCGGTAGCGTTGGTGTGATTACTGGGGTTGCTGCTGCCATAATTACTTGTCTGCATGACTATTTGCGTGTCTACTTCCCCTGCTAGATTTTGAGCTCTTTCTTTGAGGTCACAGGCTCTGCCTTTCACGGCTGTGCTCCCACCACCTAGAATCATGCCTGCCCCAAAGCAGGTGCCCGATAAATGTGTCAACCTGAACTGAATTTTTGTGGCACTGGGTCACAGCCACGATGTTAAGAACCATGTAGGAGTGTCTCAGAGCTCCCCAGGTAGATGTGCCCCTGCATAACCAAGGAAGGGGCTGGATTGCTGAGAGAACTTGGCAAGATGGATGCCTGGGAAGTTTATGAGGGTTTTAGCTATGGAGCACATAAAACTGAATGTCCAACACCCTCAGTGTTGCCTACAAGTGGGTTTTTTTTTATTGGTTCAGAATAAATCCCAGTTTGGGGAGCTCTCAGAAGTCTGAGGAAAGAGTCAAGCTTTCCAGAAAGAAGAGGTGACAGAGTGGAATGCGGGGCTTTGTGAACAGTCTTGGGGAGAAGTCGGTGCCGCCGATGCAGGCAGCTGGAAAATGAAGAAAAGAAGAGATATTCGGTCCGAAGTCTCCATCAGTGTGGCCACAGTGTGTAAGAGGTCCATTTGCTGCCCCAAACGTACAAAAGGATCAACAAGATGTTAAGACCTTGGCACTGTGGTCTGAGCTAATTCTCCCAAATGTGACAGCAGGGTAGAGGAGCTGATGGCTCTTATCTACCCCAGGAAAAGGGATGCTCGATTTTGTTTTTTTTTTCCTGTTGGTTTTAATTTATGTTGTCTTGTCTCCTGCATGGTTTATTCTTTTTTTCTCTTTTAATATGTGCCAGATGTTGTATTTGCAAAATTCTTTGTGGAAGTGATTTAGAAGACTGGGGTGATGTTACTTCCCTTCAGCGTGGATTTATATTTGCTTCTGATTTTTGGAAGCATCAAAAATCTGGGACCACTTCGATCCAAGTTCAGGGCTTGGGAAGATCACAGCCCCTATAAACAAATGCTTCCTTCTGATTCTCTTACTCCTGTGGTTCTGCCCTTTGAGATCCCTGACTAGAGGGAGGAAGTTTAGTTAGAGGCCCTTCACAATGAGCCTTGAACTTCAAAACCTGTTCCCCTCCTCCAAGAGGCTGAAAGTAGTGCTTCTTAGCCTCTCAGTAGCCACCTCCAGATGCTGCACATGCCTCACTTGAAACATAGCCTCAAAGGCTGGACTTCTCTGAATCCCTATTTTTTCCCCAAATCATGACCCTGTGAGTCTTTGTTGTTTTATAAACCTCACTCATGCTTTATGCAGGTGTTTTATATCATTGCCTAGTTTTTTTTTTAAGTTTATTTGTTTATTTTGAGAGAGAGAGAGGGAACGTGTGAGCTGGGGAGAGCATGAGAAAGAATCCAAGCAGGCTCAGTGCTGTTAGCGCAGAGCCTGACACAGGGCTTGATCCCGTGAATTGAACTGTAAGATCATAACCTGAGCCAAAATCAAGAGTTGGATGCTTAACTGACTGAGTCACCCAGGTGTCCCTAGTTTTTTTTTTAATTGTCATATGCAGGAGAGTTAGTCCAAATTAATTCCTCATTCTTAACTAGAAGCAGAAGTTAAATACTATTCTCTACTACATTTTTCCTAGAATCCTATAAAGATGACCAAATTGTCAGAGCTATTCTCCAGTTGCTCAGCAGGGTTGAGATTTTTGCTCTGCTGCCCAAGCACTTTTGGAGTCAGAGAGAGCTGAAATTGACTTCAGAGAGTTCCTGCAGGTGACAGAGGAGGTGCACCATGGATAGGTCCAATCAGACCTCCCCCGTGGTGGGATTCATTCTCCTGGGACTCTCTGCCCACCCAAGGCTGGAGAAAACGTTCTTTGTGCTCATTTTACTGATGTACCTGGTGATCCTGCTGGGCAATGGGGTCCTCATCCTGGTGACCATCCTTGACTCCCGCCTGCACACGCCCATGTACTTCTTCCTGGGGAACCTCTCCTTCCTGGACATCTGCTACACAACCTCCTCTGTCCCCCTCATTCTTGACAGCTTCCTGACCCCCAGGAAAACCATCTGTTTCTCAGCCTGTTTGGGGCAGATGTTCCTCTCTTTTGCGATGGGAGCCACAGAGTGTGTGCTTCTGGGCATGATGGCATTTGATCGCTACGTGGCCATCTGTAACCCCCTGAGATACCCTGTGGTCATGAGCAAGGCTACGTACATACCCATGGCTGCTGGCTCCTGGGCAGCTGGTATCACCAACTCTGTAGTTCAGACATCCCAGGCTATGAGGCTGCCCTTCTGTGGGGACAACGTCATCAATCACTTCACATGTGAGATTCTGGCTGTCCTGAAGTTGGCCTGTGCTGACATTTCTGTGAATGTGATTAGCATGGTTGTGGCTAATGTGATCTTCCTGGGGGTCCCAGTTCTGTTCATCTTTGTCTCCTATGTATTTATCATGGCTACCATCCTGAGGATCCCTTCGGCTGAGGGGAAGAAAAAGGCCTTCTCCACCTGCTCTGCCCACCTCACAGTCGTGGTTGTCTTCTACGGAACCATCCTCTTCATGTATGGGAAGCCCAAATCCAAGGACCCCCTGGGGGCAGACAAAGAGGACCTTTCAGATAAGCTCACCTCCCTCTTCTATGGGGTGGTGACCCCCATGCTCAACCCCATCATCTACAGCCTCAGGAACAAGGATGTGAAGGCTGCTGTAAAGAACTTGGTGCATCAATAACACCTAATCGAGTGACTATCAAAGATTTCCAGATTGCCAGAATGCAAGACCTCCAAACTCCTCATTGTACTCATGGGAAAAGAGTAACCCAGAGGAGACAAGGGAGTTTTGTAAGGTCCATGTTGCAGACCATGTGACTAAGGCTAAAAAGTAAACTGGTTCTCTATCCACTCACCCACCCACCCATTGTTCCATAGTCAATGGAAGCTTCTATCTGTGAACCTAGAAGGAAAGAGCCTTCACAGTTCTAGAAATGTTGGCTAGTTGTTGGCCTTGTGCACAAGCACAGTGACATCACTTCAGAGCTATTTTATGCTGGTGAAATCTGAGATTCTCTGCCTCCAGAAGCTGGCGCATATCTGTGATGCCTCACTGATGTGTGCGACATTAAGAGACAGACACAGAATCTGGTTTTAGAAGAACTGGGCTCTTGGAATGTACTGTGAGGCCCTAGGTAGAACTGCTAATCACTGCACATGCTTTGATATTATCCTAGAGGCCTGTGCTCAGTAAGAATAACATGAAAAATAAAATCTATACCATTGGCTGATAGCACCTTTAGTGAGAATTCACCTTATGTCTTGGCACCAGAAAAAGAGCTCTTACCTTCAGTATGGAAAGCTCCGAAGAAGCACAGACAGATGTGTGCACTCACCTACCCTTACCTCAGGTCTAATCCCACACCGGTACAGTACTGCATGCCTGGGAGGCAGAAGCTTTCCATCTCTTTTCCTCACACAAACTACATGACTCACAGTATCAAACACTCCCATGGGGGTGCCCAGACAATAAGGAGGCCCAATACATGTTTTGGGGAAAGCAAAGGATTGTAATAAGCCTCAATTGCACGGCCCTCATCAGCCATTAGTAAGAGTTGCTCTACATTGGTTATGGCACAGGTATGATGGGCTATGGAGCCACAGGTTTGGACTCTTTAGGTTGCGGCCATAACAGCATGGAGGTTGGAGATCATATTAGGTGGGAGATCTTCAACTGCCCAAAAGAGAGAATTCTACTCAACCTGGTTTAAGACTAATGTGGATTTATCCAAAAGTAGGGCCAGCCTCAGGCAAAGTTAATCAGGCTCTGGCTCCTTTGCTCTGGATTCTCTTGACTCTTCACTCTTCCATGTGTCAGCTTTGTTCTCTGACTGACTCCTCTCAAAGTCACAGGATGGCTGCATAGTCCTGGACCTGCATTTTCCACATTCATTTATGGGATAGAAACCACTGGTTCTTACAGCCAGAGAACAAGTGTCCTGAGGTTTGTTCTGACTCCACTGATGGATGCAAACTGCAAGCCAATCACAGTGGCAGGTGAGATAAGATTATGCAGATTGACTTAGACCGCAGCAGTCCCCGGCTCTGAAACAGAAGGTGGGGTCAGTCTAACCTAAGTCTATGGCTGCCACACAAAGGAAAATCTGGAGTTGTTAAGAGCGTGGTAGAAGGGCAATGGACCCTTGAAAGACAGCTGACAGATGTCCACTATTTTCTGGGTCCTCGGTGAGGCTTTCTGATTCTGGGAAATCCCTAGGAGGGTAGAATGCCTCTTATCGAATGTTGAAGCAGAATATTCCCAGCCTAGTCAAGCGGAGGCTCCATGTCAGACTAAATCTGATTAAAGAAAATAAATACAAGAATATGCCTTGTGCATCTGAGTTTTTGTCCTAGATTCACACCTGTCCCTGGTACGTTATGTCAAGTCTCAACTCTGCAGCTGAGAGGTCTGCCCTTTGAGGTGAATCTTACTCCTCCTTGGCTTTGTAATCTTAATGATTTTTCTACTTTTAGTTTTCCTTTGCCCCATTTTTCCACTATTTTTAACTTTTTAAAAAAGGATTGGGTTGAGGCGCCTGGGTGGCTTAGTCAGTTAAGCGTCCGACTTTCGCTTAGGTCATGATCTCGCGGTTCGTGGGTTCGAGCCCCGCGTCGGGCTCTGTGCTGACTGCCAGCTCAGAGCCTGGAGCCTGTTTCAGAGTCTGTATCTCCCTCTCTCTCTGACCCTCCCCTGCTCACGCTGTCTCTCTCTCTTTCCTAGAAATAAATTTAAAAAATATTTAAAAAAAAAAAGGATTGGGCTATCTCAATCCTTTGTGGGAGGATGCCAGGCATATATTGAAAGACCAACAAGCAAACAAAACAAGTAAGCAGGCAAACAAATAAACAAAAGCCAAAGGAACTAATGACAAAATGCGGCAGTGGGAGGGACAGTGGTCTGGCTGTTGGAGGAGCAGTCTCTTCCAGCTCTTTTCTCTGGGCCTTGTTGTCTCTCTCCCCAGCTGTACCTTAGTTTAGGACTGGATGGCCTTGAGGTCCTTCCAAGGCTGACCTTCCAAGGTGGTGATTCTAACCCCCAGGCCACGAGCATGAGACTAGGGATGGTGAAATGAGACTTTGTAAAAGTCACCTGTCCAGTATCATGGCCCCTAGGGCAGACTTGCCCTGTGCTGCTTCCTCAACTCCCAGTCCCCTGCGTTTATTATATGTGGCACGTGACACATACAGGAGATGCTGACTCTCAGTATTTCTACATTTGTACTTAGATTTCCCTCAACATAAGCCCCTGTGAGCAGATCTCAGGTCCTTTGCCAGGGACGCTCCCAAAGGTATGTCTGTGCTGTTTGCAATTGCACTTGAAAGAGACTGCTCATCCCCAGATTCTGGGTGGTGGCCGACCTTCCTTTCCTGTAGAATTTGCATACAAAATACCAAACCTGCCTGCAGTGATTAGGACTTCACGTGGGCTTTCTCACGGGAGGGAAGGAAGAGAACAGCAATCTCTACTGAACTTCTCTTTGGGGTTGGGCTCGGTGAGAGGGGATCAGCTGGAACCTCCCTCCTTAGAAATCTGTAAATGAGGATCCTAATCTTATTGAACGGACCACAATCCTACCCCCCTCACCACCAGAGGTGAGCAGGGATGCCAGCAAGTGGAGGAAAGTGGTTGTACCCTAGGAGAGAATAAATAGGCAAGGGGACGCAGGGAGGGTCTGAGACTCTATTGAGTCTGTTTCTCTCTCGTTCTCCACGCTGTCTGCCTCTGCATTTTCCTTTGTTTCCTGATCTCTACTTCATCTGACTCACCGCGTTAACAATGTGGTTAGAGCAAGCCTTACCAACAGTTATTAAAAGGGATGGAACTGAGCATTATTATGATCCTTTGCTCCCCCCACCCCATTTAAAAACGTTTCCTGAGGGGCGCGTGGGTGGCTTAGTCAGTTAAGCGTCCGACTTTTGCTCAGGTCATGATCTCGCGGTTCGTAGGTTCGAGCCCCGCGTCGGGCTCTGTGCTGACTGCCAGCTCAGAGCCTGGAGCCTGTTTCAGAGTCTGATTTTCTCTCTCTCTCTCTCTCTCTCTGACCCTCCCCTGCTCACGCTGTCTCTCTCTCTGCTAGAAATAAATAAAACATTAAAAAAAAGTTTAAAAACAAACGTTTCCTGATAGCCTGGGAACACGATGTTCTGGCTCTGTCAGCCCCAACTCTATTAAAACTTCTGCTCATGGACTCTAGATGATTTCCCGAATCAACCCAAATAAATTCTTAGGGAGAAAAATGAGAAAAAATTTACTGGAGCCTGTGCAAGTGAATCTTTGTTCTTATAACTAAAAGAGCAAAACTAAACAGATGGAGATGAAAGTTCACTGAAGAGTCAGTGGCTCACGGCTGGTACTGGCTGTAGACTCAGGAACCATTAAGATTCCCCAGGAACCCTCTGAGGCCCGGGGCTGGTTCTGTTTGCTCCCAATTAAGGCCGATGGTTTGTTCCCCTGGGGCTCAAGTCCAGGAACCTGAGTATTGTGGAAAGTCCATTAGTATTCCAAATTGAATCACTACAACAGCTGCTGCGAGCACGCCCAAGGAAAATAAGAGGGCAGTTCAAAGAGCAACTGGGTGGCAAGGATTGGAGAGGTGGGCATGGAGGCTGCTCAGGTCAGCACGCCCGGGACTGAGTCATCGTGCCCTGTCCCTCCAGAGGTGCCGGGAGCCCAGGCCAGGGAGCCAGAGACCTGCTTTCCAATTCTCCTTCGATTTGCCACAGTTGAGTTTCTTTCCCTCTCTGGGCTTCAGTTTCTTTTCTTTTCTTCTTCTTCTTTTTTTAATGTTTTATTTATTTCTGAGAGAGAGACACACACACACACACAGAATCCGAAGCAGTCTCCAGGCTCTGAGCTGGCTGTCAGCACAGAGCCCGACGCGGGGCTCAAACCCATAAACCACGAGATCATGACCTGAGCCGAAGTCGGACACTTAACCGACTGAGCCACCCAGGCACCCCTCTGGGCCTCTGTTTCTTTGCCTGTAAAATGTGAGTGTATCCTCCCACCCCTCTCACTAGATGATGGATGAGAAAACACCTAGGAGGGCCCAGAAGGGAGGAATTCATGGCTCACACCCCACAACCTGTCACTCACTGATTAGGGGTCCCCTCTGGCTTCTCCCCCTCCACAGTGCATGAGCTATGGCTCTCAATTCCCAGCGCTACTTCGTGCACTGTTTACAGGAGACATGGGTGGCTGATTTGTGGCCCTGACTACCTGTGCCTGCTGCACACCTGCCATCTGGTGGACATTTCTACAAGCCTCGATGATCAGTGCTTCCAGAAACAACGTGCTCAAGAGTCACGTTGGGGTGTTGTGAAAATGCAGATTTGGAGTCAGTGAGTCTGAGGAGGGACCTGAGACCCTACATCTCTGACACGTTCCTGGGTGCCTATGCTGCTGCCCTGTGGGCCACACTTTGAGTAACAGGCCCTCGAAGACCTGGGATCCAGGCCAAGGGACCGAAGGAAGAGGCAGGGAAGACCTCCTGCGGGGAGGTCTCCTGACCTGCGCCAAGTCCTTTGGTGTCGGCCACCCAGTCCAGTCTCTCCAGTGTCAAGGGCAGTAGTTTGCCCTGTGACCTCACTTCTCTTATGGATCTAAGAATTATTGATTTATCAGTTTGTTCAGCTTTTCACTTGTCAACAGAGTGTTGGCGACCCAGCTTCTTACATGGT